CTGTGTCAGCCAAGGAAATTTATTTTTTAAAGAGTAGCGAATATGGGGGAGGTCGTTGCCGCGCCCCTCGTTCATGCCGCACGCTCCTGCTTCTTTTTTTCCTTTTCCACATACAATGCATTTGAGTTGCGAGTTAGCGCTTGTATGTCTTCTGTGTTCCGTTCCTGCCCTTGTCGTCGTCTTTTTGGGCACTATTATTTCATCATGCTCTACGTGTAGAACTTGCACCTTAAAAGAATTGCCTCCCATAATTGTGCCTACGTGTTTTTATCAGGAATTTTGGCAATTTAGGTGTACAGGACGCTTCCAGAAACGCCAACCAAATCGTTCATGCAAAAAGTACGCATGGCACACACACAAAAAGAGTCGACGTACAATCGGTTTCAACCAAAGGAACTATTTCAGAAAATTGATAAGGTTCGGTAGGATAGACCCCTCTCGAAAGTCTACCGTCTGTTGTGTAAGTTGTGGAACCCCTGCACAATGGAGGACTCATACGACACACAGCAGAGTCAACGCTACGAGACGATGGGTGGACACGCTCAGCGCCAAAAGCGCAACGTCATTGTGCCTGTTGCCTGCGTGTGTGTACGTTGTCGTCGACTAAACCAATCATGCGCAGGCATGCAGCCGTAACCTCACGATTTTATTGTACGCGTTAGTGCTTGTGTTAATTCCAGTTTTAGATTGGCGCGTTCAACGGTGTCGATTGCTCCGCCATTGTGAGGTGGTTCGGACTGTCTAATGTTTGGCACCTGACTTTCGGAAGTTTTTCTTTTAGAGCGCAGCTCTTAGGCGCCCGTTTCCGGCTTGAGCGGCGTCGGCATCGCCGTCAGCGTAACCGCGAGGTCACGTGACCCCCCCCCCCCCCCCCCTGAGGTCACGTGACCTTGGGGTCCTTTTTTTATTTTTTTTAGGGCGCGGTTCTTACGGGCTCGTTTCCGTGTTTCGCGGCGTCGGCGTCGGCGTAACCGCGCTAAATTTAGCGAAAAATTGACGACAAGTGACCTCAACATCAATTCAATTCCCCGCTAAAGTTAGCGGGGATATTCAGTTTCTTCGCTAGATTTAGTGGACAAATTCAGTTTCTCCGTTAGATTGAGAGGGGAAATTCCCCGCTAAATTTAGCGGAGAATTGAATTGGCGTTGAGGTCATGTGACGTAAATTTTCCCTCCAAATCTAGCTAGAGGAGAAATTGAATTTGTTCATAGGTTACGTGACACCAAGTCACGTGACACCATTTTCCCCGCTATATTTAGCTGGCAAACTAAATTGGTGTTGAGGTCACGTGGTGCCAATTTTTCAGCAAAATTTAAAGGGGGAAACTGTGGGAGGAGGGCAGGGTATGGAGGAGGAGGAGGGGAGGGTACGCAGGGCAAGGAAGGGAGGCAAGAATTGTTGGTCACAATATATGTATATATATATTATTCTTTGTCAGGTTTTTTTAGCACGATATATCGCAAAACCAAAATACCTCAAGAGCTGCGCTCTAATTTCGCATTAGAGGGATTTGTAAATATTTTTAAATTTTTTATTACTGAACTTAAACATATGCCTCAGGCATAAACTATTTGAGCGTCATCGGAATCCGCCATATCAAACCACTCTACAAAAATAGAAGGCACGTGCGGCAGTTTATGGCATTGAACAAAACGAAAAGGCACTCAATGTGAACGCATTTTCAAGTTTCGGCATTCCCATCAAACAAAACGCATCTTTGTGCCGGCTGTCCGCCTTGTCCCGCTTACCGCGGCCAAAGGACGCAACTACCAATTCGCCTCCTTCGTAGCAGGAAAGGAAGTGTGACGCGAGCCGGCGAAATAAAACGTTGTACTGTTCGAATGACATTGCAAAAATAAACTTGGTGACTTGCGTTCCCTTCCGTCATGCGAAGACCGCTTGGCTGCGCACATTCGTGGCGCGCTTCGGTCACGGGTAGCGGACCGGCTCACTCAAAGATGCACTCCGATAGGAAGCCGAAACGGAAATACGCGTCCTAACTAAACATTTCTTCTTTTTTTTTTTTCCGGGAGATTTCAGGACGCTTTACGTGTTTTGTAGCTTTGTAAAGTGAACTCATTTAGTGATTTTTGATGACGCCCAGCAATTTTACAGCTGACACAATACATTTAAACTTACTTGCGGAAAAGTTAGTTACCCCAAAATAACAAATAATCCAATCATCGCTTACCCTATTAATCTTCCGGTATAAACCCTTCGGCTGAGACGAATAGGATATCATTCTTTTTTATATTTGGTGCGCTTTTTTTTACGTAAACAAATATGAGCCTGCTCTAATACCTTCTTGAAAAGCTGCTCATTTCTTCCTGTTCAGTGATCTCTTATTTGCTACTATATTAGAAAATAATAGTTACGTGGTTTTCGTGCAATTTTCCTCTGAGCGGGAATCTCGTTCGTCCTGGCCGATAGTGTGCCGTAGTAATCCGATCATGATGGCCGTGTTACCACAGCTATGTATTTGGTTTTTCTGACAAATTTTAAAATTATGTTTCTCCCACCTTGGCTACCCTTCGGCGGGCGGTAGTGTCTTTAAAAGACGTTAGCAATGTTGCGTTTTAAAACACTCTGCTCTTTTTTAAATTATTTTTTAGTTGTCGCGCAAGTCATCTAAGTTTGAAAGTAGTCAAGAACAGGTTGGCCCTCTGCCTGGGTCTAGAATTCGTGTGACTCAACGTTGCGTGTGACTGCTTGGTGAGAACAGCTTAAAATTGACAAAAATGTTCGAGGCAAAGACCACTATAATAATGTCTCTAGTCTGCTATAGTACTTTGCTGTAGTGAATGTTCAGTTGGAAATAGTGTTTCAGTCACGGTTTTAATTTTGGTACGACTTTCACTTGCATTGACTACTTGTTTGATACTGCTTGCTTTACGCAGGGTTCAAACATGACGCCCTGGTTCGCGCTTGTTCGCGCTTCGAACACGCGAGGACATCTCGCGGAAAGTCGGCGAATTAGACCGAACGTCACGTGTCAGGCCAGAATGGCGTCGCCCCCGTAGTTTCAGTTTCGTTTTTTATGGTAGTTTTGGATCATAATAATCACGGCCCGGGGGCTGACCAGTGCCTGATATGCTGGTAGCTCCATCTTATTGGAGTTGTTTTTGGAAAAAAACCGAAGGAAACATAACAGGACGCTCTGCATGGTTTCTGTACCTTCCAAGTCCTCCGAAACAACTGGTAGTAGAGGCCTGCGTCAACGAGACAGATCACTCTACATAGAACTACAATTAAAAACGAGCGTGTTGGTTAATATACTTCGTCTCACCCTAGCATGGACTAACCGCGAAGGCTGTGCTAGCGCGAGCGGCCAGCCTTGACTGCCTTGACTTGAGCACTTGCTGCACGAGCGCTCGTGCAGCCGCCGCGGCTTCATTCAAAGCGACTAGCTCGCGCTTTTAGCACGCGCGGCCAACAATAGTCCATACTAAGGTGAGACAAAGTATAGATACACAACTTGAAAGTATAGAACAGCGAGGACAAGGACGGGAACAGGACATCTTTCCTGTTACCTTATGCTCGCGTGCGTGTAAGGCCATTTTTATTATATTTTTCCTAGGCATTGTGATTTTTTTCAGCAATATAACTTTTCGGCAGAAAGAAAAGCTACCTCTGGGAAGGGGTCTGAGCGTATAAATCCGTTGGGGAGCGGAGGGGGGGGGGGGGGGGGGGGTTCTTTACGCTATAAATTTCTTTTGCGATGCGGTTTTTAGAAAAAAATCAGAATGACTTTCCTGCGCTCTCATTTTTGTGCTCTCTCACTGACGATGAAGTTTTATTTGTTTAATTTTTTTGTGTGTTTTTGTTTGATACGTTGCAATGTTCTTGCTATTTGGTAGGCAAAACAATCTTTTTTGTAAAAAATATTTTTTAATCTTTTTTCTCGATAAATAGTATATAGGTTATGCTAAATGTGATGTCTTTTTCTTTTGTGTGTGTCTTTTTTGGTCTCTCCTTTACTGGGTCACGTCACACAAACTCGACTTTGATGGGCTTAATATTTTGTATTTCTAACATCATTAAGAAAAGTATAAACTAACCGAAACATCTATTTTAAATCCCGTTTGTTTATTTTGGTGCTTCAAAAATATGTGATAAAAAATGGAAGCGTCGCTACTCAGCATGTTCAAAATATTCGCTAGCATTCGGTAAAAATAGTAACAATTAAATAACATTACCAACGAAAGAAGATATGTAATTTTGTATATTAATAATACGTAATTATTTATTTGTTACCACCACTCTTCCCATAATTAACAGCGCAGGAAAATCTCACCTATACCTTTCTAGAAATTTTTGTGAGATTAGGTTATATTATAGAAGAGGGCTACTGGCTGATTTAGATGAGCTCAACACGGCACGACTTTAGGCTGAGGGTAGCCCTGGGACCAGTAGGCAAAGCTAAAGTACCAGTTGTACGAAACTTCAAAATTGTTTTATACATTAATTTATAGTTACTATTATCGGGCCTTTTATATTCTATACTTGCGGGGTGTGAAAGAGTTAGTACTAAGATAAACTGAGAAAAACTGTTGTCAAATACTGTTATTATGATAGTCGAAACTGAGTAAACGTTTTTTTAGTGGAGAATCACTGCGGCCCACATATGTAAGCCGCAGTATCTTTTCAATAAGAACAGAAAATAAATAAATTACTCTTCTAGAAAAACTATAGATAGTGTTTTGTATTCTTTAAGAAAAGAAAAACGAACTTTTCTTAATATCAGTTAAGAAACCTGTCCCGCTTTCTCTTGTAGCAAAAATACCCGCTTGTATAGCCGCGTTTGTAATCAGTGCCCAGAACACATTACACTGAGAAGCACTGGTCCGGGGAAGAGTCGAATCTTGCTGTTACCTTTTGATGTACTAAATGTTAATGTCTGGAGAATTTTCTTTTGATCTGCTGAAAGTTGTGTAGAGGGTCAAAATTTCCGACTGCTTGAGCGTCAATAAACATATAGCGACAACAAACCAAGGAGAAATGCGCTTAAATATAGCTTTATTAGACCTTGTTGTTCGTCGCCTTCCGCGTAAGGGAAGTACATTGTCCGCTATAAATTATCAAAATGCTCGCGGCAAGACGTTCGCGATGAGAAAACAAAAATAGCATCCAATATGCAGCGCAGAACTTGTGACGCTGCTCTTGAGTGCTTATGCAGCTTTGTTTTGCTTTCACTAAAAAACGGGGCACATGAATCTCACTTGTCAGCCAATACCGACCGACTTCCAATGCTCACACTCGTCTGAAGAAGACGAGCGGTCCAATACAGATGTGACACGCACACCAACACAGACTGTTCCAGAGACTCTACAAGCTGGCCAAAAAGCCACGTCCAGAAACAACGCCACCGACGATCGCCCTTACTACTCCTCGGCTTCGGTTCTCCGCGAGAAGGACACCAGTTCGTATCCGGCGAGGGCGCAGTCCTCCAGGACTAGTCTCTCGAGGGTCGCCTGCTGGGCCTTTCGGGGCTTGACCAGGAAGGCGACGGCGTTGACCTTAACCCTGTTCCAGGTCAGCTGCCTGTCCAAGAGCCTGTTGCTCACGCTCAGGAACTTGGCGTGGAAGGAGACCCTTATCTGCTTCTCGACTGTCCCGTCCTGCAGGACGTCGGTGCCCAGTTCCGTCTGGTCGCGGAGTAGCTCGGCGACCAGAAGGTCTCCGCAAGGCTCTTCGCTGTCGGAGTCTCTGATGCGAAAGCGGTCTCCGACCTCGAGGGCCACCGGAGAGAAGCCGTAGCCCTGCGCGATGGTGTCCGAGTAGAAGTAGTTGTCGTTGTCGTTCAGGCCCCCTGGGGGCGCCTCAAAGGTGATCCTCTTCCCGTAGCCCCTGCCCACACTCTCTAGGGTGAGGGCCCGACCGTCGAAGAGCTGTCTTGACGTGCGGTTCACGCGGACCCGGTAGCGGAATCCTGGCACGACTCGCTTGTCCACGTAGGTACCTGCGGGCAGAAGAAAACAACTTATTGCAAATTCGTCTACGTGTGTGATCCCACTCAGAAAGGCAGTGCTTATAAACGTATCTCCACAGAGAACACCTCACTGAAAAACGTTAATTATACTTTCATATCACGTCTTCCCACCACTCGCAGCACGTGCGCATTTGCGCGAGGGAATGTGGTAGAGCATTTTATTAAAATAGTTATGCTTGACAACTGAGAATTCTAAGCAACATACCAGGTGTGTAATTAAGAAGCTGATGTGTTCAAAAATGAAAGCTAGAATTCATAAAAACCTGAATTTGAGAAAGGAAATACTGAACAAATATTACTTATGTGTGACCATGCTACGGTAGAGGAGTTTAATATCAAGAATTATAAGGTGGTCTTTAAATTTGTCGGTGGTTTTTAAATTTATATTTATATAAAATTATATTATATATTATTAATAAATTTATATAAAATTATAAGGTGGTCTTTAAATTTATCTCAAGCTGACCTTTCACGAGAGCAGTTCACAGACATTTATCAATATAATACATTCTGAATAGTTACTAGAATGTACTAAAATAATTCCAAACGGAAACCTTGTCAAGATAATGGATGAATAGAAAATAACGAAGCTTGTATCTTTCATCCCCACGTCTCATTTAGCCGACTTGCGGTCTTAAGGTTCAACATGACGTATTTAAATAACGGGCTCACAAAACCCTAGAAACCTTTGCCGATCAGATCTATTGTTCCAATGTCATTGAATGACATGCGCAGGCATAGAAGCGTGACTTAAGAACGTCTGACTTTGTATACATTTTTAAAAGCCGTTAAGCGTAATGCGTGGTGTAATGATAGAGCGGAACAGAAATATTATTGGACGAACTTCCGCTGCGTTGAGTCATCTATCTAATAAGTGAATACAATCGCATGGATCAAGGGCAATGTAGTCCGACTTATAGCTGCGAATTCACACTTCATAAGAAACGTACAGAGTCAATTACACAATATGAGACGTTACAAGTTGGCCTACGTCGCAGGTAGACACGGTCAAGGTCGACTTACCGATAACGGGAAACTCATGAGGCCGGAGACCGTTGACAACGTAACTGGTGGGCACATCGTTGACGTCTTCACCGCGGACGATGTAGAGAAAGTCGCTCTGCGCTGGCTTGATGGCATTCTGCATCAGAGAGGGAGATGAAGAAATAATTAAAATTGTCAGAAACGCTTTGCTGGTTACAACTAAGTTAAGGTTAAAGAGTACAAACAGGTTATCGTCGCACATTTTGAAGGTGAAGACTTGCAATCCGGCATGAGAGATCACTACCAGCAAGATAGGCAGCCAGCGTTTTTTTTATAAGCTAAGTTAGATCCAAGGACGCATTGGCAGGTTCAAGAGCATTTTAAGTAACAAGCAGCTTCTACAGCCACGGGAGAGCAGAGTGAGGTTTAGGGTGATGAGTTAAAAAAAGAGTAAAACTGTGCGCGCGCGCGTGCCCACCTCGTGTTGTTATTTTCCCCGGCAGTGCTTGGGACATCTGCCAACCGTCGCCCGCGTGTAGAGGACTCGGAAGGTGCCCGGTGCACGCCATAAAATAAACCGGAGAGTCTGCTCTGACGTAAGAAGAATGGAAGTCCCACTTTTGTTCGTTCGGTGGATCTGTGTTGATGCTTTCCGCGAGCTGGGAGAGAAGGGAGTAAACCGTGATTTGCTTCCCCTTCGTTTTTTTTTTTTCTTTCGCGTTTCACGGTCGAGGTGAAAGCGTTGCGTAACAGCGAGAGAGAGGATGTTTTTGGAACATCTGTCGGGTGGGAGAGAGACGAAGCGAGAGAGGCCGAAGGAGGAATGAGAGAGGAAACCGCAGCTGCGCCAAAACGCCGATGCTAAAAGCGGAATCGCCGTCATCGCAAATCGTTCAGTCCCTGAGCCAATTCCCAAAACCGTTTATAAAATACCTCTTCGGACACTCCTAGGCGCCTTATTCGCTCACTCTAGAACAAATGAGCCACTGATGTTCTCGTTCCGAATTAACACTTGGCACGCCGACCCTACACTCCACCTGTCTTGAGAAGCTTGTGTCATCAGAGACGAAGAAACCTCGCTCTTTGAGGCACCGACGAAACGAAGCACGCACGCGCGTCCACGCACGAGGCGTGCGTTAGGCCTAACGCCTGTTTCAGGGATTCCTACTAACCCTAGCTAAGCCCTGGGGTAAGAGCGCCGTGCGCGGTGGTTCGCTGAGGTAGTCCCGGCACTGGAGCTGGTTCTCGGTGCTGCTGCCATGCAGGAGAAGTTCGTGTTGACAGCGGTGCTTCTCCGCACCCCAGAAGGCCTCCAACTGTTGCCAGCAGTCTCCTTGTGCGTCGGTCGAGCGCTCGCAATGTGGCAGGGCCTCGCCACTGGGCTCCACTTGTTCGGACTCGGCGCCGCTAAGCGGCACCAGACTCGGGCCTTCGCATGCCGACAGAGAGCTGTTGTACTCCGAGAACCTGCTTTCCATTGAACGGTGGGCGAGATTTTTTTTCTCGGAAGGCGAGTCGGGCGATGTGAAACAGGACACGGTTTCTTTGTCTACGGCAGTGGGTTTCAGATGGACGGAGGTGGTGGCGTCGTGGCCGTCGGTCGGGACGTTGTCGTGGTCCAGGAGGGGTGACCGGAAATTATCGGTTCTGTTAATGCGTCGATTCTTTATGCTTCTTTCAGCCGGCCGGTGTCTGTGGCGCGCGATTCTGCGTGACCGTTCCGAAACTGAAAACGTCTGGAGTGGAGGCGCGCGTGCTGCCGCCGGGCTTATTATAGCCTCGGTGTTCGCTCTCACATGACGTTTCTCGCGCAAGCGCACAGCCGGCTCAGCACGGGGTTCGCACGTGTGCAGTTCTCCGGACGGACCAATGGAAACCCGGGCGTTGAGCGAGCCCCCCTTTCTTCCTCTAAACGCCAACGCGTATTTCGAGTGGGAAAGGAGAGAATGCGCTCCACTCTCTCGAAGATAAGGAGAGGAAGGTAGTAGTCATGGCTGATGTGACGCCGTCCGTATGCTCTGCATGTACTGGCTTGCTCCTCCGGCATTACGAAGCTATAGCGCTATAACTAAATGGCTATACGCCTTCCGGAGCATAACGATGACGCCAGGCATAAATACGTGTTTAATCGTGCTGATGTCAATCGTAGCGCGCGTTACTTCGGAAGCCAGGAAGGAAAGGCCGAGAATGCGAACGAAATGGCCTCCAGACATTCAATCACTCATGTACACGACTCGTCGGCTGTGACTCGTAGGAAAATTACCGAACGACGCTATTATCTCTCCTCTGGGTAAATGGCGTTCGCGTTGTTCTGTTGGCGGTAAAAAGATTAATAAGGGATAAAACAACATCACAGATGTGTTCACGTGAAACTCGCGGCCATCTTCGTTGTTAGCTCGGACCACGTGGAACTGTGACGTCGAAGAAATAGAACCCCGGCTTGCGTGCTACCATTTGAAACGTAAATGGAATTTAATTATATTACATTTTACAGGGTTCGTGTAGAGTGCATTGTTTCGTCGTGATAAATTAGAATAATATCTTGGGTTGTTACCATGCGTTGCTCTATGCACGTGTCTGCCCTTCTACACATAGCACTTCTGATTTTTCTAAAAAAATGCCACGATATAACATTTTGTTGAATTAACTTAAACATTGGCACCGTACAAACTGGTGGAGCTAATCATATGGCTGTTCGTTGTAACATGTACAGAGGAACATACTTTTTCCACGAAGTAATCTCTTTTTTCTAAATTATATGAACAGTAGTAGTAAACTCTTTTGAAATAAAAGTTAAAAACTCAGTCCTTAACCAGAAACAGCGGCTTTCAACTGGCCATGACTACAAAAAGGTATGGCCAATTGTGGAATTTCTTCACACCGTCATCGGGAGCAATGCCTTCGATAATCTATTCACACACACTCGCACACGCGCGCATATATATATATATATATATATATATGTGTGTGTGTGTGACTGAAAAGAAAAGAAAACCTTTGGTTTCGTAGGAACGGAAGTGGTTGCGTCGTGGCCGTCGGTCGGGACATTGTCTTGGTCTAGGAGGGGTGACCGGAAATTATCGGTTCTGTTATGCGTCGGTTCGTTTTGCTTCTTCTAGCCGATGTCCATTGCGCGCGATTCTGCGTGACGGTTCCGAAACCAACAGTTATACCTAGGGTTTGGAGTTTTCGGTTTAAACCGATAAAAGTACGCCGAATATATTTTCTAAAATTTGGTTTTAACCGAAAACGTCAGTTTTTTTTTAGGGCCGCGTCGAGGTGGGTGGGGGCGGGGGGGGGGGGGGGGAGGAGGAGAGAGAGAGAGAGGACGTTGCAAGTTTCGACATTGTGTGACGCCTTCGTGATTTCCCTCTTCCAAGGTTCAACATGCAACAGAAGAGGTCTTGGATTGGCCTTCGCGGGACATCTGTGTCCTTTCTGTGATCGATTTTTTGAAAAAAAAAAAAAAAAAAAAATTGGGGGCTAGGTATGAAGTTTTTCGCTTCATGCACTTCAGAGGACATCGAAGAAAGCCATTACTACCTTTTTTAACACCCTCTCTCAAACTTCCCTGTGACTAAACATAAATAGAATAGATTTTTTTTTTTTTGCTATTTTGCTGGTTTTTGTATGGTCATCACCTCAGACGAAGACGTCATCAAAATGGGAAGGAAAAAGAAGCGCGCTGAAGATTATGCCCGCGAATTCCGCGATTTTGAGGTCTGCCCTGACGGAAGTTGTAGCGAAGACCAGGTATGTATATGTGCCGTTATCGTTTGAGTGATCACCAATATCACAGCTACAAGGATATCAATCGGACACCTGATCCGGTGTCCGATTGTGTTTCTTTCAAATTAACCGAAAAAAAACGGTAAACTCTTTTGTAAAAAAAATATACCCCCCCCCCAAAAAAAAAAAAAAAAAAAAAAAACCGAAAATGGAATTTTAAAATACGCACCGAAAAAATTTTCAAAGATAGAAACCTAAAAAGTGGAACCCTAGTTATACCTAGGGTTCGGAGTTTTCGGTTTAAACCGATAAAAGTACGCCGAATTCATTATGAGAAATTCGGTTTTAACCGAAAAAGGTCAGTTTTTAGGTTCGGCATTTTCGGTTTAAATTAATAAAACTGATAAACGTACGTCGAATCCATTTTCTAAAATTCGGTTTTAACCGAAAAAGGTCACTTTGACTTTCCAGTCGTGCCGCAGAGCCGTGACGAAAAAGTGGAACGACAGTGTCTATCGAAACGTGTCCGAATGTATGGGATGCACGGGTGCCATCATGACGTTTTGGTTTAATGTGCGCATCATCGATCGGAACGTGAAGTCCGAAATGCCCCATGACTTCGCTATGTACGAGCGTGTTTCCAAACTCGTTGTAAGGAAGACTGACTTGATGCAAGCTCTGCATGTTGTGTTGTGCGTTAAAATGTCGCACCGTGTCTCTTTTGGCGGTCACGTTTGGTTGATGTACGGTTTACTTTCGTATGTACGGTTTACTTTTAAATCACAATACTCACTTAACTGCAGTTTTGAACTTAAAAAAAAGCATCAAAATATTATTTTTATATTTATGGAGCTGCCAAGGGTTGCTCCAGCCACATGTGTGCCCTTCTACCGTACGTACTTTACGAAGTTGTCTTGTTAGATATTTTTTTCTATAAAAATGGAGAGGAGTTTAAATAATGCCGGATTTTTACGCTACTTTAAGAATAAGTATAAAAGCCGATTACATATTGTCCTACTAATTTCTTATTCGTCAGCGCTATTGTAGCAGCGTCAAAAGTTGGGCCCTTTTTGTTTATGATTGGTTCAGCGATGATATGACACGTACATAAACATGACGAACACCATAATGGTGCGCTTTTGACGCTGTCTGATTCGTCGCATCGGCTGCGTCTGCACTTAATGTAAAGCAAAGTAACGATGCCTTAAAAAAAACAGGCTGCCCGAGATCCTTTTTCCGGAACACACCAAGTGATTCTCGAATTTAATACTCTAACAGTAAGTAAATTCAGGCTTTTTCAAATTACCGCACCATGAACGACTGTTAAACCAATCTGTTCATTATCTTCGTAAGAATCATGGATAGTTAGCGACTAGCAAAACAAATGCTCCACCGAAGCGCGGAAAACAAAGCTGGTTTCTGTAGCAGGACTGCTGATCTCACAAACTTCCGAACCCCGGTTTCCCGGAATAACCGCAATATTGCACAATGGTTTTAAACAGACAAGTTTAAAGAAAGAGAAGACCCTTTATACGGCAAGAAGCGAAGCGCAATAACCACAAAACAGCCGAGTCTACTACAGTGGAGCGTTTTTCTCGTGGGAAAGTATTTTGAAAAAAACTAAGCTGTTTGTTGTTTTAAAGTGTGTCTACTGAAACCACACCATTGAATGACTCGTCCGGCGTGCCTCAACGAAATCGCCCGGACATTCACCGTCGCCATCAGTATACCGCCTCTCAAAATTATGTACGTTATTTATGAGACTCGTGAGTTTTGTTATATAAACAATTACAACTTTTGTATCAGCGTCTGATGACCTCGATATTAAATTATAATTGACGCGTGGCCCGTGATAAGGTTGTTATTTACCTGTTGTTCATGCAGTGAAGAGTAGGTTGTTTCTTCGATACACTTCGGGGGAACACTGTAGATATCGGGCACTCTTGAGTCACTGAGCCTGGGCTGAGGCATGGCAAGCACTATTCGACAAAGTCACTCTCGCAAATCAGTCGTGGACACCGGACCTGCGCTTTTTATATCAACCCGACGTGCTCAATGGCAAGCACCGCGGTGTCTGCTCTCCTCGCCTAATATTTTGCCTACCGCTAAGTGTTGCCTGATGATTTCAACCCAGAGATTAAAAAAAATGTTATCCCCGATGTCCAAGCAGAAAAGGCTGAGTCAGTGGAGAAGATGTATAAAAGCGATAACTTTGCGCAGCTCAAAGCCCTCTTTCTCGATGACGTCAAAGAGTACGCCGCCGCGATTGGCTCTCTTTAGTGAGGTCAGCTTGAAGCTGAAAGAATGGAGAGGAGGAAGCACTGCGCGGAACTTCCCGCTCTCCTTATCAGAGAGGTAGTACAACGTGGCGGCACCTCCTCCACCTTGACCGAACCGCAGTGAGATATATATCTCGATGACCGCAGCGTCCGCAGCGTGACCAAGCGCGTTTTCAGAGTCCTCGGGCGGCCCTTATCGGACGCGGACTCGTCGTATACGTAGAGAATGTCTACGCGCGTGATAAGGCGATACTCGTGGTTTCCAGTCGGCCATTTGAGAGGGGCATCCCTCAGTCAACAAGGCGCTGCTATCTCGAGGTTCAGCCGTGAGCCAGCACGAGATCATTTCCCGACGCCTTCGAGATTGTCGGTGAGGCGACCTCGAAACGCCTTAGAGAATGACTTCGCAATTTTTTTTACAAGCAGACTGAACAAACAGCTATACATCGTTTCACCTTAAAAGACAGAGCACAGTCAAATCTAAGAAGACACACGAACACAAACTAAAGGTGCATTTACACCGGAGTTCGAATCGCAACCGCGATGCGGACCCGCTCATTTTCTTCATCAAACGAGCGTGAAATTGTATGCGCCAACAAACGGAGGGAGAGGAGGAGCCGAGAGCGCGCGTGGACGTCAGAACGCCGAGCTTTGGTTCGAATGCTTAGTGGGTAGACCTAAGGCTAGCTGCCTTTGTCTACACCGCACTCGTCGAACGCGGAACGCCGGCGTCCGGCGTTTGGCTTTCGCATTCGAGCGCGTTCGACGAGTGCATGCAGTGGAGACAAAGGAAGCTGGCTTTAGGTCTACCCACTAAGCATTCGAACCAAAGCTCGGCTTTTAGACAACACCGCGCGCTCTCGGCTCCTCCTCTCCCTGACTTTCTTGGCGCACTGGATCTTTAAGCAACCGCGTT